AGAAATCGGTCTTGATTTTGAGTAGTTTTTCGATTTCGACCTTGTCTAGCTCTTCTAACATGTTGTCCAGTATCCCGAAATCGATCCCATAAACGCTGAATAACAGAAGGGGAAACTCGAAGATCCCTGCTAACATGTCGAATAGAGTGGCTATGCTGAATAAGGGTGACAACACGAGCAACTTGCACTTCACTAAGATGCCACATGACGCTTAGTAGGCTTTCATTCGTGAATTCAAAGCATACTTGACATTTTTCCACTTTGTTTAGCGTTATTAATTTACATTTTTAAGTGTAACTTAAAAGTAATTGAGAGTTGTAACATTGTTTTTGTAATTTTCTTTAGTTAAATATATACCGTTGAAGTAAATCAAATTTGATATGTCTAGAACTATTATTTAAAAAATTACAGATTTCGAAAAATGTTCCCCTATTTTTTTTTGAGCAGTGTATATAAATATACAGGGTGTGTCAAATGTCTGGAATATAGCCAATAACTTTTGTGGTTTTAAAGAAAAATGTTTCAAATACAAATTTCTTTATTAATCATGGCGCATCATTTGGCGACATTTGCTTGTTTGTATTATTTTTGTTTCGTTGCCATGGCAACCAACATTCTTATTTTAAATGGGATGCATATACTTTTTTTGCATACTTTGATAGAGGATAAGTCCCTCTATGCGATGAACATATCAAATCATATGGTTGTATAAGAAAAAAATCGAGAAAAAATGCGTTTTTTGAAAGTCTTAAATCAGCTAATTACAATCAAAGTAGGCGCCGAAAAAACGCCGTTGACAGCTTTAAATGTTCAAAAAATTACAGTTTCAACAATTATGAATAATTAATAATGTATGGTCATTGGTAGCTGTCTTCGACCATCAACTTTTTGGAAGATTTTTAACACTTCCATTCACTAATTTTATTTCTTTTTTCTTCGTAAATTTTTTGACATTTAAAGCTGTCAACGGTGCTATTTTGGCGCCTACTTTGATTATAATTTACTGATTATAATATAATAATATTAATTAACCCTTTCTAGACGGATGTCGGATATATCAGTTTTTCCATAATTTGACTCCCAGACTGGTGTCGGATATATCCGACTTGCTTCTATACTGCTTGTGAAACTGTTGTCTATAATATCCGACTGCGTCAAAACTTACTGTGGCCATAAAACCGCTGTCGGTTTATGCCGTCACAATTTACATGACACAGAAACTAATGTCGGTATAATCCGATCTAACGGAGATATTCAACAGTAACCGAGAGTGCAGGTGCGATGGATATGCGTTGCACATGTTTGTTTTAATTTCTTCAGTAATGTACAAAATGTCATCGGAAGACGATGCAGGTCCCTCAAAAAAAGAGCCAAAAAAATTGATACCCAATCCAACAACTGGTGTGGTTTAGGTGACAAAGAAGTTAGAGATATTCTAAAAGTTGTGGATAACCTCGACGACTGTTATCTAAGCGAAGACGAACCATTTATTGATAGCGGAAGTGAATATAATCCCGAATCATCGAGCGAAAGTGAGTCTTTTGAGAGTGCTGATAGTGGTGACGATTACTTAGAAAATGCGAACGACACCACTGAAAATAATAACGAGAACGAAGAAGAGGCACAGCCGCTTCATGAGATCAATATACAGTGGACAGATAACGAATTTAAGCCTAAGAAACATGCGTTTATAAGTGATCAATGTGGTTTANTGGTTGCCGCCGCCCGATCAAAGTCAAAATTGGTTCAATGATTTTGCTTGATATTTGTTTACCCTGTATCAAATTTCAACGCTCTACCATAAATGTTATTGAAAATATTTAGAAAAATGTGTTAAAATTTCTGAACTTTGATGGCCCATATCTTGGCCATTTGAAGACTTTTATAATAAATTTTTATCAAGAATCGTCTTCATTTTTGCTCTAGTATATGAGGTTAATTTTATTCCCCGAGTCACCGGAACACCCTGTATATATACTATATTTGTTCCTATATATTAATAAAATAAAATATTAAAATTCGGATGAAGAATTATACAGGGTTTCCCAAAAGTAATGGATAAATTCGTTAAAACAACTAAAAAAATCGCTGAGACGGGTCTAAGAATTTACAATTTTTGCAATTTTTTGGTATAGATTTCAAATTTTTTCCGCCATGTTTAAACAAGTTAAGACGTCATCGCTATTTTTTTCAAATAGCAATTTTATTTTTATTATGGAATATGAAAGAGGATTTTTTTCTGAATTTTGTACCGCCAAAATTAATATTAGCTACATAACAAAATTTTCGAGANTATTGGTCAACTAATCCTCTAATAAATTCTCCTATTTTTGGACAATGCATGTCAAGAGATAGGTTTCAATCGATATATAGACATTTGCATTTCAGTAACAACGAAGCTTCAAAGCATGATCGTCTTTTCAAAATTAGAAATGTGTTAGAAAAAGTCAAAGAAAGATTTAAGAATGCAATATATCCATTTGAGTCTCTTGTTATTAACGAAAGTTTGGTACTTTTCAAAGGACCCCTTGTATTTAAACAATACATAAAATCGAAGAGGCATCGTTTCGGAATCAAGTTGTATGTCTTGTGCGACTGCGAGACAGGCTACATTCTAGATTTTATTGTTTATATTGGAAAGGAGACAGATATTGACACCGAAACTAATCCTCTTTTGGGAATTACAGGTGCAGTTGTAATTAAATTGTTGACGCCATACCTAGATAAAGGACATTCCCTCTATCTATACCGATAATTTCTACACGAGCCCTTCGAAATATATCATCAAACCCTATATTTTTTTAATTCTATCTTAAAATACACTCTTTTAGCTTCAATTTGAGATACTTNAAAGAGGATTTTTTTCTGAATTTGGTACCGCCAAAATTAATATTAGCTACATAACAAAATTTTCGAGAAATATTGCCTTGAAGTTTCATGATTTCCCATTCATTTGAGGTAGAAAAATAGCAGTAGCCATACGTAACCATGGCAACCAGTTGTTTCAGATACTTTATTAAGACAATGATTAATTTTTTTGATATCTGCAACTGTTGATTGTCATGGTTAGCTACTGCTATTTTGCTATCTCAATTGAATAAGACGTGTTCAATAGGATTCAGGTCAGGACTTAATGCCGGCCATTCCATGACCTGAATTCCACGTTCTTCTAAAAAGTTACTGGTGATGCCGGCAGTATGTGGCTTTACGTTGTCCTGCATTAGGATGAAATCTTGACCGACCCCATATGGAGCAAGTTCTCCAAGATGTTTTCGATGTAATTCATGGCATTTAGTCTACCAGGAACAACAACAAGATCAGTTCTGTTGTCTATACCCATTCCAGTCCAAACCATAACACTTCCTGTATAGTAGCGGCTGGGTAGCGTTCACCAGGACGTCTATATACACGTACTCGACCGTCGCAACGAGTTAAATGAAATCTGGACTCGTCCGTTAACAGTACAGGTGTCCAGTGACGAAGTTGCCAATCTCTATGATCCAGAGCAAATCTCATTCGCGCTGCTTTGTGATGCTACTTAAAGCGTGGTTCGTGGACAGGTCTTCTAGGTTTCAAATTCGTTGCTTTTAATCTGTTTCTAACAGTTTAATCAGAAATTTCGATTTCGACCTTGTCCAGCTCTTCTAACATGTTGGTCAGTATCCCGAAACTGATCCCATAAACGCTGAATAACAAAAGGGGAAACTCGAAGATCCCTGCTAACATGTCGAATATAGTGGCTATGCTGAATAAGGGTGACAACACGAGCAACTTGCACTTCACTAAGATGCCACATGACGCTTAGTAGGCTTTCATTCGTGAATTCAAAGCATACTTGACATTTTTCCACTTTGTTTTGCGTTATTAATTTACATTTTTAAGTGTAACTTAAAAGTAATTGAGAGTTGTAACATTGTTTTTGTAATTTTCTTTAGTTAAATATATACCGTTGAAGTAAACCAAATTTGATTTGTCTAGAACTATTATTTAAAAAATTACAGATTTCGAAAAATGTTCCCCTATTTTTTTTGAGCAGTGTATATAAATATACAGGGTGTGTCAAATGTTTGGAATATAGCCAATAACTTCGCCATTTGTGGTTTTAAAGAAAAATGTTTCAAATACAAATTTCTTTATTAATCATGGCGCATCATTTGGCGACATTTGCTTATTTGTATTATTTTTGTTTCGTTGCTATGGCAACCAACATTGTTATTTTAAATGGGATGCATATACTTTTTTTGCATACTTTGATAGAGGATAAGTCCCTCTATGCGATGAAGATATCAAATCATATGGTTGTATAAGACAAAAATCGAGAAAAAATGCGTTTTTTGAAAGTCTTAAATCAGCTAATTACAATCAAAGTAGGAGTCGAAAAAACGCCGTTGACAGCTTTAAATGTTAAAAAAATTACAGTTTCAACAATTATGAATAATTAATATGTATGGTCATTGGAAGCTGTCTTCGACCATCAACTTTTTGAAGATTTTTAACACTTTTTGACATTTAAAGCTGTCAACGGTGCTATTTTGGCGCCTACTTTGATTATAATTTACTGATTTAATATTAATTAACTTTAATTTTCAAAGAGTAAAGTGTCCTTTATAGAGTTGTTCTAATGAAAATAATAGCTGTTTCAGATTGCTTTAAGTATAATAAGTATATATTTGTAATATGGAATTGATAATAGAAAAACTATGGCCACAACTAGAACAAGCCAGAACAACAAAGAAAAACTGATTTTCCAAAAAATGGGGTGTAGTCAAAAAATCTAGTCAAATATTTGCCGCTTTGGAACAATGTAGAACAATTCTAGAACAATCTAGAAATTTTTCGTACTATCCATAAAAATTTTTATCTTTCCGTTTAAAATAATGTGTAAAATGATGAAATAAGAATATAAATTCAAAGAGGAAGGGTAAAGACGAGTTTGTAGCCTGAAGATGTTAGAAGTTGAGCACGTTACCCCATCTCCTAGAAACTTGTCGAAAACTTACCTATCGGAGGCTCTTCTCTTAACGCCAGTGCCAACGGCGGTCATTTGGGTCTCGTTTGGTAGAAAGATTTCCGAAGGTTCAGAGGGTGAATGTGCTGGGTCCAAGATGACGTGCTCGTGTGAACGAACGTATTGCAATGGTGACTAAAACAAGCAAAAAAAAAAATATTCAAAGAAACCGAAACGACGACGTCGTAGTGTCGAAATGGAATCCAAACAAAAAGAGCTGAGGGGGCCAATCAGGCGCAGCGAATACAAATCACTCAGTAATTGTGAAACTTCGCGGAGATTTTCCGAATTTTACGATCTCCTTGCCTTTATTAGGCTCCGCGGCGACACGTGCGCTTTATAATTTTTAAGCCGCCAGAAAAAAAAAAGAAAATTTCTGTCGTTCCGTTTTGGTGAAGTCGCCGGCCCTCCTCGGTTCAGATGCCTTTAATTACCTGTTTGTTGGCTCTTGCCAGTCCGTGGATCTCCCTTTGCAGTAACGGTAAATGGGCCCTAAGAAACGGCAACACGAACGGTCTCAGTGGGAAATTGGTCACGTCCTGTAGCGAATGGTGAAACTCTTCTATGCTTAAATTTGAACTCTGAAATTTTTACAATAATTATAACTAAATTAAAAAAGATTATTTCGACTTACAACTAAATTTAGAACAAGACTTCGTACTCTTTCACCAATATCCGAGCTTATATCGGTTCCAAATTGGACTAACGTACTGAGGAATCTCTTCACTTTCACCAGAGGACGCGTTATGCACGACGCGTAACTGTGATTGTATTGCTGGGCGGGTGTTGCGTCCAAATTTACTGATAGAGCGGAGGCCGGAAGGGGCGGTGTTAGGCTGTCTGCCGATCCGTTATTCACAGGTGAACTTGCTCCATTTCCCGAAGTTCGATGGGGCGAGGATTGCGTCGGAGAAGGTGGTGGTACCACTCTCGCTCCTTCCGGTGAATCCGGAGTTTTACATCGCTCTTTAGGAGTTACTACAATTTCAATAAAAAAAAAAGAAAATCATAAATCATTATTTACTTTAATTGCCTTCTTTTAAAAAAGATTCCAATTAAGTTTACTCGAAACTGTTTCCTTATGGAGCATCTTCTGCACCTGTTATCGCGTTACCAGTGCCCCACCAATAAATCAAACTTAATATCTGAAAGAAAAGTTTTACGCAAATAAGCGTCGTCGCAAACTCGACCCGAAACTGAAAGAAAAAGAAAAAAGATCGTAGAAGGTTAGTACTGCCCCTTTTATGACTCCTCGAGAAGTGCCAAAGATTTCAAACCATGATCGCGGTTTCAACCTCTTTTCGATAGATATAGAAATCATGACCGCGCTTTAGCTATAAATCCACCACCGCCAGCCCCGAAAAACAATCGAAACTATGCGCACAACAATGCGAAGCAATCTATCACGTGCAAAAAACAATCGTAGGAAGGACGAGGGGCGTCGGCAACTGGTCTGCACCATCTGTCGTCGACTTTTGTTTTAATTACGTGCGCGAACAAAGACCTTAAGAAATTGGAAAGGGCGACGACAGCTACCATTCCGAACTTTTCGCAATAAAAAATATACTATTGAGAGATAACAATTTTATTCAAAATAATCAACACTTAGATTATATCATAACAAATCCTAACATCTATTGTTTCGAGCAATGAGAAATGAACGTCGAGGTTTGCGAGAATTGTGCAAGAGCGTTAAAGTAGTTGGACCGAGGTCGTACTGAGCCCTTAGTCATGGCTGTCGAGAAGTTTGAAGGTGCATAATGGCGAAGGTGATTGGTTAGCGACTGCACTTGGCTCGTTTAATTCTATGCTCGGCCGCGGCACACAATGAGGGTGTGGCGGTCAAACAATCACCTCCGCCCCGATGGCCGATATGTCGAATGGTATTGACACCTTCCCGTTAAATATATATATATAAACGTGGTGGTGATGGCAGCATAGGGGGTAGAGCGCCTGTATAGGTGAATTTCCGCCCCGCAGCGATTGGACGACCGACATTACACAAAAAAAAAACAACGAGTCTACAAAAAAATCCGCGTTTTCGACGTGTTAATGAAAAATTGAAAAGGTGGAAGTGATTGACTATAAACGGGTCGGGAGGTCCATTCGATTTGCCGTCGTGTGTGGGTTTTTCAATTATGTTCGATTATCTTTCGAAATATGTCATATATGACCTTCAACTAAACAACTATTGGATAACGATTTATACAGGAAATTTTATATAAATCGCAATGTATTAATGTAGTAACCATAGTTACGGAACTATTCTTGTTAATAATAATAAATCGTTTATTGGGCAAGAAATAAAAATATAACATACAAAAAATAAAGAAAATCGAAGTTTATATACTATTCTTGCACAAACAAGGAGACAATTCAGGAACAATTAAAATTAGTAATTCCAGATTTGAGTAGTCAAAAAACAAAAACTGAAAAAAAACAGAACAAATTTGGCAAACCGTTAAATAACCTTAACAAGGCTCAACTTAACACCTTACTACTTAATCCCGATGAATCCCAAGACCCCACGCCTATACGCATTGCCTAAACTTCATAAAAAAGACTTTCCTATAAGACCCATTATAAGCAGTGTTGTTAAATACTCGGGTATTTATTTTCAAGGGAAAATTCCATGGATATATACCCGGGGGTATTTACCCAAGATGGGTATTTAAAGGTATTTATAAAATTTGATTTAAATTGAGTTGGTGGCAGTTTTGCAAGTACTTCAAGAATGCAGAGTCCATTATCGATACACCAAACTTATTTACAACATTTACAAGAATGCTACAATGACGGCAAAATTGCATGAAATTATATTGACCGAATACACATTGGGCGTGGGGTAAGAGAAGGCGATATAATGTTGAACCCAAATTGTTCATCACAGTCCTGGAGAGTGCATTTAAACAACTGAATTGAACCCAAAAAGGTATAGACATTGATGGCAATATTAAATAATTAACAATTAATTTCGGATAACCTTGGAGAGATGAAACTGATGCTGAACATATACAGGAGGCGTGTGAAAGAGTCGGGCTAAATATCAACAAAATTTAGGACAAATCTTATTCCAAGTTTTAACATCAATATTGGTGATAATGAATACTTCTATCTTGAATACTTTCGATGGTATATCATTAATCCCTGATGCCTTTCCATGTTTTGACGCAGTGATTGCGTTTTGAACCTCACTGATTGATATAGGTTCCATGACACTATCCTTTCTTTGGTGTGATGGACTGCTGTCTATTTCCAAATCAGTTTCTATGCTTAATAGGTTTTGGAAATAATTTTTCCAAATGTCATTCATTTCACTATCACATATTATTTTTCCTGTTCCATCTCAGCATAGAGCTGTGTGCGATTTGTGCCTTTATCTTAACTGTCTAACAAATTTATACGCATTCCTGGTGTTATTAGCTTTAAAGTGTACATATATTTATTTTGGGAAAGTTTATATTTTCACTACCGACCATTCTCGTTTACTCTTATTTACGAAAATATTTAACGATTTCTTTAATGCTCGAAAAACATTAATGATTGATGACTAAATTCAGTTTTTGTGCTTCATTAATTCTTGTTGTTTGATTCTTTTCTAGTCATATTGCACTTCCATCAAATCCAAGATTCCAAAATCCATGAGATTGTTGATTTCCAATTGAAAATTAAGTAGTTCGTTTAAGATCTTATTCTTCTTCTTCTTTTATTCAGGTTGTAACCTGTTTTTTACGCATCATTCATGGTGTTTCATTAGAGTTGGAAATCTATCTCTTCTTGTCTTTTCCACTATTGTTCTTAAAGTACTCATCTCAGTTGGTTCGCATCGCAGCCATATATCTTGGCCATGAGGTTCGTGTATCGAGAGATAATAATCAAACAAGCGAACTAAGCAGAAGGATGATACTCGCATGAGCAGCCTACAGGAAACTTAGAGACATCTTCATGAGCGATATTCCTGTATATTTGAAAAGAAAGGCTTTCAATCAATGCGTGCTTCCTCCTTTGGTTATGACATACGGTTCCGAAACTTTAACATTAACGGTGGCCATTACTAGGAGGCTCAAAGTAACGCAAAGAAAGATGGAGAGGTAGATGCTGGGTGTAACCCTGAGGCACCACATACGAAATGAAGACCTAGGAAGAAGAATGATGCGATCAACATTGTGGCAAAGCTCAACTGGAACTGGGATCATCGTCGCAAAAATGAAGAATGAGCAGTGGTTACCTGATTATAATACGTCTTCAACGTCCATTTCATCATGTTCCTCTACATTTTGTCCGAGCTGTTATATTTTTACTTGTATCACTTTTATATGTACTGTTTGGGTATTTACCCCGATCCAGATAAATACCCATTTTATAAATACCTACCCGCCGGGTATTTACCCAGCGCCCATCACTGATTGGCAAAATTTAGAAAATTTTATTGAGTATATTCACAGATATCACAACTTTTAAACCCAAACATACCATCACAAGTAGAAGAGAATTGATTACTGCACTGAAAAAATGTGTTCTACCCGAAAAATATCTCATGGTGTCCCTCGATATCGTAAATCTATACACCAACATCCCTACAAAACAGACTACAGATTTTAAAAGAAATATTAAATGATAAATTAGCCGACCACAATGACAGCTTTAATTTACTTAAACTTTTTCAATTATGCATAGAGCTAAATTTCTGCTCATTTGAAAAGAAGATTTACACCTACTCCGATGGACTACCCATGGGAGCGCCATTGAGTGGATTGTTAGCGGATGTATATCTTAACAGACTCGAAAATGAAGACATCAATAATCCCAAGAACCCATTTTACAAAAACATAATTTTATGAGACGACGTTTTCGCAATTATAGACATCTCCAATAAAAACGAAACTGATAACATTCTACAATACATAAATGGTTTACAACAAAATATTAAATTTACGATGGAGATAGAAGAAAAGAATAAGCTAAACTTTTTAGACCTCACAATAGAGAAGAACAACAACACATTGATCTTTGATATCTATCGAAAAAAGACGCAAACCGATATAATGACTCCTTTGACGAACCGTCACATAAATTTTCTGCTTTTCATGCATTAATAGACAGAGCCCTCACATCCAAGCTTGATGAAGAAAAAATGTTAATGGAACTTAGTACAATAAAATAAATAGCACAAAATAATCAATTCAGTAAAAATGAGATTGAGAAGTTTATTGATTTATTACCAGATAAGAGCCCCGAACCCAAATATCATAGATCCATACAGTATCAAGGAACTATAAATAAGAAATTTAAAAAGATTCTCAATAAACACCATATAAAAATTTCATGTAAGAATAATAACACTATAGGAAAATTATTAGTGAACAATAAAGATAACATTGACAAACTAGATAATAATGGAATCTACAAATTACAATGTGGCACATGTATGGCAACATACATAGGACAGACTGGACGAAAATTGGGACAAAGGATATACGAACACCATACTCTAATTTTGAAAAACACTTGTCATTTAACATCGAACATGAATTTGACGACAGAGAGAACGCCACACTGATGCATAGAACTAACAAAGGACATTTGATGGAATTACTCGAACACTATGAGATAAACAAATTCAAGAATAATTTTCCAACAAAAATCGCCAGATGAACGAGGGTAACTACTTAGGTAGCAAGTAGTTCACCGCAACTTCTGGTGTCCCTCAGCTACCTTCCCATCCCTATTTCTCCCATCCAATCCTTTATTGTTCCTTTCATTCTCCCCCCCCCCCTTTTTTTTTCCCCTTATATTAAGATTCATTTGTTGAAGTCCTTTGATTATGTTGAAATTTGAATTTGTTGGTTTGGTGTTTTTTGTTAGGGTGTTATCCAGTTGCTGTGTTGGCAACACATACAGTTGGTTATTTCTGATTATGGCGCGTTTTTACCATACATAACCTTAATTTCAGTTTTTCCTTCATGTCAGTTGTTTCG